GCGAAGACGTAGTCCTACATGGCTTATTTTATGTTTTGTGCTGTAGTATCTATTACAAACTTCAATTACCAAATTTGAAACAACTCCTGTAAACGATGTCGCAAAAATCATCCAAATACCGAATATCGGCAGGGATCTTTATGTGGGGGCTATACGAAGACGTGAACCTACATGGCCCATTTTCAATGCCAAAAGTCCTGCAGACATAAACACATTTGAGTAAAATTTTATCAACCTATTTCATTTCGTTCGGATGCTAGAATGATTTCCACAGACGGATAGACGGACGGATATCTCTAAATCGACATAGAATTTTATGCTGATCAAGAATGTATGTACTTTGTGGGGTCTAAAATGTATATTTCGGGGTGTAACAAACGGAATGACAAACTTAATATACCCTCCAGAGGGTATAATAAAAAATTATTTTTCGAAATTTAGATCCTCAAAATACTGCAAAAAAGTCAAATGCCATAATTGTTGACATTTTCTTTTTTTTTTTTTGAATCGGTCACCTTTGGCACAAATTATGGCCTTGAAACCGTCACACGCTGCCCGAATGGTGCTCTGCGGTATTATGGCCCATTCCCGAGAAGCGCTTGCTTGAGGTTATCGAAAGTTTGGTATTTTCTAGTGCCAATCTTGCTTTCCAAAATACTCCAGACACAATAGTTCAACGGATTGATATCCGGAGATTTTGATGGACATTGTGCGCTGGAAATTAAGCGAGGAACCTCATTTTGTAACCATTCTTGGATGGCGCGTGCTGAGTGCGATGATGCTGAGTCCTTCTAGAATGTCCAAGGTCTGCGGCCAAAATATTTGCCTGTCCAAGGCTTTAATACACCCTCCAGAATATTTTCGCGATAATATTCGACATTTATTCTGATGCCATGTTCGAGTAGTACGAGCGGATTGCGACAATCGGCTGTTATGGTGGCCCACACCACACCATCGCCATGGTGGCCAACCGAAGGTGCACATATTCCGCTGACCTTTTTGGCAAGTAAACGCGATCATTTTCTTGGTTTACCAACTGCTGGACAACGAAGGTTTTCTCATCGGAGAAAACCAATAACCAAATTCGGCAGTTCACTTTCACTTTCGACCAAGCGAAGCAACTCTTTAGCTCTTATTACTGTTGCGGTGTAAGTTCTTGTACTTTTTGGAATTTCAATGGCTTTACCCCAAGCTTTTTTTTTTTCAATATTTGCCAAATGGAATATTGCGGCATGTTCAGTTCACGAGCCATTTTTCGACCACTGCGACACGGGTTTAAATGAAGTCGCTTCATTACTTTTCGAACCATTTCTGCTGATGTTGCTGTTTTCTTCCGTCCACTTCCTCGACATATGTCGGCCTACGCTACCAGTATCGCGGTAATGAGCGATGGTACGAGACACAAAAGATTTATTCACATTTATATGCTGGAGTGCTCTAACGATATCCAGTTGTGGTTTTCCAGCCAAATATAAAGAGATCACACTATCACGTTTGAGATCTATCACGAATAGCTTTTTTCTGGGAAATTCTATATAATAATGAGCTATTGCTGGAATAATTTTAACAGCTATCGGACGAGTGGCTTAGAAATGACCGCAGTCTGAAGTTGGTTGCTGTTTTTTTTTTCATCTGACCCTGTGTATTTTTAAAATCCTCGATTATGGTAGTACCTTAAAAAATATTTAAAAAAGAATCATTAGACTGCTAACCTTTAAATAAATATCTCCTCTAAAGGTGTTATGTAAAAATCGACGACATCAATATTTTAAAATTAAAATCGACGACCTTTTAATACCTTTTAATAGATCCCAAAATATAAAATTCTTAAAAAAAATCCATATTTCAGAAGTCCTTGATAAAATATTCGTTAATAAGTTAAACAGTATCAGTCGGCATTGAAGACAGATGTATACCCTGTTCGATTGTTTAAACATATTTTGATTTCTGTTATATTATTCTAATTGTTGACCCTGTATGATGTAGCCTTCAAAGGTATGGACCAATATTGTCCATTGCGTTGCCCACATTCGACGGACCCATCTGGCAACGCCATAACTTTTGACAGAGATGTCACATCGCTTAATGACATACCGCGTTTGAAGCCTCAGTCCAAGCGGATTTTTACCAGGAACCAATACACGCCACGCGAGCCCTCTGAAATTTACATTCAACAGAAGAAGTCAATTGTGAAAACTCAACGTGCTTTTAAAACATTAAAAAATATGAGAAGTGCGCCTTCTAAGAACACCATTAAGCGTTTATACGAAAAATTTTCGACTGGTAAGGCTCTTTCTAATCCGAAGAGGCCATATAAAAGTCGACCAAGGCGATCGGCTGAGAATATCGCTGCCGTACGAGCCAGTGTTGAGAGGTCCCCAAGAACATCCCAAAAACGCCGTTCTCAGCAGTTGGGCATGGCTCGGTCCACTTTACAACGGATTATTCGCATTGATTTGCATTTGTTGACGTACAAAATTCAATTGACGCAAAGAATGTTGCCTGCGGACAAGCCTCGTCGATTGGAATGGGCCCAAAGGTCCGTCGAATATGGGCAACCCTGTATGATAGTGGAAATAATGGAATGTGTGAAATATTAAGAGAGCCTGATGCTTATTTCGGACTTATTATAAAAGTTTTGGTTATTGATAACGTTGATCATTTGTGGGGGAGGTACTTGATTGTCCTAGGTCAGTGCTAGGTCTGGTGCAAGAAAACATATTTTTGAAAATGTCGACCTTTTTTGGGGCAGGTACCAGAAAGAGTGGTCAGGTGTATTCCACCCTAACACGAGACCTTGGGTAATAAAAATATTGGGATGTGTAAACTTTAGAGACAATCGGATTCGCACATCACATTTTATAAGAGTTGTAATTATTCAAAATGTTGGGCCTTTATGGGGGAGGAACATGATGGAGTGGACCGATATTGTCAATTTTTGTGCCTGACCTAGCACTGATGAAAATATTAGGATTCGCAAGGTTGAAGCAAAATCGGATCATCCTTTCTCTTTTTGGGCAGAAAATATTTCTTTGAAAATTTCGACCTTTTGTGAGGGAGGTACCAGAAAGAGTAAACCGATATATTTCATATTAACGCCAGACCTTGGGTTAGTCAAAATATTGGGATGTTTGACATTTGAAGACAATCAGGCTCTTACATCAAATTTTTTAAGAGTTTTAATTATTCAAAATTTTGACCCATTGTGGGGAAGGTACCAGGAGGAGTGGACCGATATTGTCGATTTTCGCACCTGGCCTAGCACTGATGAAAATAATAGAATTTGCAAAGTTTTGGCGGACACCGCCAGATCGACTCCAAATGTTCTAAAACAGATTTGGTCCTAAGAGACCTAGGGTTTAAAACCGTTATTTCGACTAGGCACGTTTTGACCGCATCAACGGATCAATATTGTCCATTTTGGCACCAGATCCAGCACTAACGAAAATATTAGTATTTGCAAAGTTGGAGCAAAGTCGGATTATCGTTTCTCTTTCTATAAAAAAAAAATATTTTTTTATACCCTCAGCAATTTGGCTACAGAGGGTATATATCATTTGATACGGTCAACACGTGCCTAGTCGAAATAACGGTTTTAGACCCTAGGTCTCTTTGGACCAAATCGGTTTCAGAACATTTGGAGTCGATCTACCGATGTCCGTCCGTCCGTCCGTCCGTCTGTCTGTCTGTCTGTCTGGCTGGTTGGTGCGCACGATAACTCTCGAATGGAGTATCCGATTTGATCCAAACTTGGTATATTGTAATATTTTTGTCAAACTTAGATCGAGTTCGGAGATGGGCAATATCGGTCCACTCCTTCTGGTACCTCCCACACAAAATGTCAATATTTTCAAATAAAATAATTTATTGCACAAAAAGAGAAAGGATAATACGATTTTGCTCGAACTTTGCGAATCCTAATATTTTCATCAGTGCTAGGTCAGGTGCGAAAATGGTCAATATCGGTCCACTCGTTCGAGTACCTCTCCCACAAAGGATCAACATTTTGAATAATTACAACTCTTATAAAATGTGATGTAAGAGTCCGATATAAACCCAAGATCTGCTGTTAACATGGAATGTATCTGTCCACTCCTTCTGGTACCTCCCCCACAAAGTGTCGAAATTTTGAGTACCCATGAAGATCATAAAACGCCACATCATCTCAATACTTCTATCAACACAAGATCTGTTATAAAGGTGGAACAGATCGAACAATTTCTTCAGGTACCTCCCCAATACTTAGGGTTCAAGATTTTCAAAAACAAATGAGTATTTTAAAATACATGCATATTTTTTAAATAATCATTTGCTAGTCTTTCAATAAATATTATTATTATTTTATTATATTATTTCTTTATAAATATTATAAAAATATTATTATAATGTTTTAAAAAAAAATCCCCGTTTTCAAAAAAAAAAATGCTTTTTATTTTAGAAAGCCCACATTTGTTGGCAATGCAAAAAAATACATTTTCAATATCCTTCTCAAAATAATTTGTATTCCCCTGGAAATTGTAACAGTCTATTATCCAAATGCAGTAGCAGTGGAATCAATAAAAGAAATTGTGTTGCTCTTTTTTTTTTTTGTTAGCAAATCAAATAAAATTCAATTACCAAAGTGATTTCTTTCTCTTGCGTTCGTTGATATTGCGTGCTTTTATTATTTGTTGATATCCTTTGAGAATATGATTCCAAGAAATCTCCACCGCCCCCTCTCCCACAGTCGATCCATTGATAATTGCTAATGACTTATATGGCAAAGCTGGAAAAAACGAATCTCTTGCCAGCCATGTGAACAGCGTAATCCGCTCGTACATTTGGAATGAACACATACTTTGAAGGAGTGTATGTGTATGCATGTGTGTGAGTGAGTGCTTGGATATTTGTTGATATTCACTTTTAGTAACAATATTCAGTTTACCTTTTTTACGACTCCCCCCATGCCATGATTTTTTTTTTACCTAATGCTCATATTTATTTTTTTCTTCCCTTTCCAGGCGTTAAAAATAGCACAATAAAAACAATAACGAAGCGAGAGACCGGAAGTAACCAAGAAACAAGGTAAGGGTAAAGGAAGAAGAAAATTTGCGAAAAGAATTTTGGTTGTTTCTTTTGATAAGAAAAAGGACGAAGGAGCCCTTAAATAACAATTTTCAAATAGAAATAAATTTACCCGCTGCCCAGCTTTAGGGACTAAAAACTCCATTTGTGAGGTTTAGGATATGAGAGAGCGTTTTCACATTGTATGAAATAAATATTTTGAAAAATTATTGAAGAAATATTTAAAAAAAATCCACTTTTTTGTTGCCATTGAAAAAAAAATTATAAGAAAAAAAACAAACAGTAGTAAGTTCGGCAGTGCCAAACATTTAGTACCCATCACCAAAATATATACAAAGTGAAAATGAGGCCTTATATTGTATTTTTTTTATACCCTCCACCATACATAGTATGGAGGGTATATTAAGTTCGTTATTCCGTTTGTAAATCATCGAAATAATCATTTTCGACGATTTTAATCATTTAATCATTTACGACAATTTAACCATGTCCGTCTGTTGTAATCACGCTACAGTCTAAACGAATTAAGATAGAAAGCTAAAATTTTGCACAGATCCCTCATTTGTCTGCAGGCAGGTCAAGTTCGAAGATGGGCTATAGTGGTCCACGATATCGTATAGCTCCCATATAACCGTAACCCCCGATATTCGGTATTTAGATAATTTTAGATACATTTTCCAATGGAATAGTCTGAAAATCCACACGAGGAATTCCATGTGAATACTTTATCCTTTGAAATAGAAATATCTATATAGGTCCACGATGGGCCATACGATCCCCATATAACGGCGTCTCCCGATATTCGGTATTTTGATGATTATAGCCACATTTTTTCAACGGAATTGTCTGAAATTCTACACAAGGAGTTCTATGTGAGCACTTTAGCCTCTGAAAGGGAATTGTCTATATAGGTCCACAATATCGTATATTCCGCATATAATGGTACCCCCCGATATTTGGGATTTTTATGATTTGAGGCACATTTTCCAATGGAATGGTCTGAAAGGAGTTCATGTGAGTATTTTATTCCTTGGAAGGTAATTATCTATATAGGTCCACGATATCCTATAGCCCCCATATAACGGTACAACCGATATTCCGTTTTTATGATTTTAGCCACATTTTTAAACGGAATTGTCTGAAATTCTAATAAGAAGTTCTTTGTGAGACATAGATATGTCTATATAGGTCCACAATATCGTCATTATTTTCAAGTATTTTAAAGATTTTAACAGAAGTTTTAATAGATTTTTTTTTTTTGAAAATGTTCTAATTCTTTCCAAATGGAGGAGGGGCGGGCCGAACTTACTGCTTTTTTATTTGTTTACCCTCAGCCATACATGGCAACAGAAGTTATGTATCATTAGATATGGCCAAAGCTTGTCTCATCGAAATAACGGTTTTAGATGCCCTTTGGAGCATCCGATTTGATTCAAATGTGGTATAGATATCGTAATATTATAGTCAGGCTTAGATTGCGTTCTGATATCTTCTACGCAAAACGTCAAAATTTTCACAGCTTATAATTTTCCGTATAATTTTCTCAATATTCGTATCATTAATAATATGAAAATGGACAATATCGGTCCACTCCATCACGGACCTCCGAAAATTATATAAAATTTCAAATTTCCCACATCCCAATATTTCTACCTAGTGCGAAGATGGATATCGGCCCACCCCTACTGGTATCTCACCCACAAAGCGTCAAAATTTTCAAATTTTCTGATTCTCTTCAATTTTCACACATCCCAATATTTCCCCCCAACACAATACCTGGTGTGAGGTTGAAGCATATCGAACCCCATTCTCCCACCTCCCCCACAAAGTGGTCAATATTTTGAAGAACTGCGAAGCTCAAAAAACGCGAAATGAGCACCCTTTGATTTGTAAACTTTGCACATTCCAATATTTCTACTAATACACGATCTGGTGAGATGAAAGAGTACCTCGGTGTCAAGTGTCAACATTTTGAATAATTATATCCCTAAAAATTTGTGAAATAAGTATCCGATTCCCTTTAAATTTCACGCATACCAATATTTCGATCAAAGCACAATCAGGCATTAAAAATGGAATATGTCGGAACACTCACTCTGGCAAAATCTATATATATAAATGTAAGTTGTGTTAGTTACTACGCTTATAACTTAAGAACCGCTGGATTAATTTTAACGATTCACACAAATTCGGAGTTGTGTACTCTCCGAAAAGGATAATATCCAAAAAAATCGCGTAAAAATGTGATATATTAACATTTTCATTTTGACTTTTGAAATGTACAATAGTAATGTTTTATTTTGCATGTTTTTTTTTCATTTTGACTTACTTTTTTCTAATGTACATTTGTAGTGTTTTTTTATATTTTATTTTTGAATTCGAATATTTATACCAATTTATTTAATTGACTTGATTTCTTGAGAACTGAAATTGATGGCGGGTTACATGGAAGTGTAGTAGCGAATTATGTGGTGGCGAAACGGAATAGATGATATCGAAATAATTTAACGCGGTCACACCAAAAAAGATAAAGACTTTTTCTAAATCGCTGAAAAATCATGAAAAAGAGATCTCATTGCAAAAATCAAAAAAACATTTTCAATGGAATCGAATTTTAAAGTAATAGTTCATTCTATTGACGAACTTTGTAAGGAAGGATCTTAAAACATTTGCTGTAAAAAATCAGCGAAAAAGTTGAAGACTTTTTCAATTTGTTATTCTTTTTTTTGTCAATTTTTTTTTGTGAACAAAATAAAGAATAATTTTTCACTAAAAAAATTGAATAAGTGCGAAATAGGATGTTAACTGACATCTACCTTTCAACTCCAGGGCCTACATCGTGGGTTAGCTGGAAGATGCGAACACGTTTAAACAAACAAAAATGACCGAAAAAGCTTAATGGGGCTCATTTCAAAGCGTGACAATGATCCGTCCAATGAGAGCTCAAAATGCAAAATTCTTTGGGAGAATAATAAGTAAAATACCAATATTGAAATAAAAGGTGCAAAATAGTAGAGCGAATGGGACTTTTAGTAAGAAAAGGTTTTATATCCTTCCAGAAATTCTTCCCAAACATTCAAAATACCAAAAATCACTTTTGCAGGTCTTTATATCGATCATAACTCATGGATAAGGGAACAACCCGATTTCATATTTATATAACCATCTATGATTTAAGTTATTTTTGGGGTCTTGGCCGGCCACTTTTTTCATTTTTTGGCCCTTATTTAACATTTATGTTTCTAAGGGGGTAGATAACCTCTTCGCATAAAATTTGAAATTTTCAGAGTAGGGCCCATATTGGTATTGACCACATTCATCAATTGATTTGGCTAAAAAATTTTATTTATGCCACCCTGGGGTAGGGAACCATCATACAGATAATTGCCACATAGGAATTTATTTAAGTAAAGTCCCCACATTGGAGTATCCCAAGTCCACTTTCACATCTAATGTGTGGTCAGAAAAGAAAATTTTGTATTCTATTGAATTTTTAACCCCCAAGAGAATATTGGTTGGGAACGTAGACTTGGGATGTGCATCCATATGAAATAAATTGTGGAAACATGAACAAATTACAAATATAAGAAAGTAGCACGGGACCGAATATTTGTTTAATCATCATTGAATTATCCTGATGATGATGAAAATATGGACTTTAAGGGGTCTCCAACTTACAATTTAAATGGCAAATAAAATTAATTCCCATCTTATCATTCTGCCCTCAATTATGAGGTGGATAAAACTATTTTTACTTATTTAAGTCACGCGAAATGCTATGACATGCTATATTGTTCTGCTATATTTTTGATTTGGCCTCTATTTGTCATCTTGGATTATAAGGGGTAGAAGAAAGTTTTCAATGTAGGTCGATGTTTCGGAGTAGTGCCCATATAAAGAAGGTACCTCCTAATTTAACCACATTTCAAAGAATTTGGCTAATAATGCGTATTAGGGGGGTGAAAATCTTACACTAAAATTTCAACATATCTACAGATTTTAGAATTTTTATCCATGTTATAATACCCTCTCAAGTCCACCTTTTGGCGGACAAACAGACTGACATGGTTAGGGGGACTTATGAGGACTCTAATGTACAATCTAAGTTGCTAATGGGTTTAAAAAAGTAATTAACTTTGGCTATTCTTAAATCATTCAGCCCTCAATTATGTAGTATACAAAATACAGCAAATTCCAAATTACTGCTCATTTGACTGGAAGATTTTGCTACGATTTTTACCATATTAAAAATTAATTTGATCCCTTATATGGCGATAAGATTGATATATACTTTTTAATAGATTTGTATAGCACATCCACACAGTTGAAGCCCACGGTTTAAATATTGAAGCCCACTGGTTAAAAATGGGTACAGGTATTTTAAAACACTTTATATCGACCTGTACGTGAACACTTATATCAGTCATATCTGTGAATAATTATTCTTGGGAATATATGCATAATAGACAAAAACTACGGGCCGGCAACGCGGACCGGGCCAGCTAGTTTTCAATAAATGTGAAGCTTATAATATGCGAAATTAGCATCTGATTATTTTCAAACTTGTCACATCTCAATATTTCTATTAACACAAGATCTGGTATAAAGATCATAGGCATCGGCCCACCGCTTCTGGTATCTACCCCACAAAGGGTCATAATTTTCAATATTTCAGTTGTAATTTACGAAACAAGTCAGCGATTCTTTTAAAGTTGGGTAACCTGAGATCTGCCATGAATACAGAATTCATCGGCTCATTCATTCTGGGTTATTTTTTTTATTAGAAGTGAAATATGAATGAAGTTGAATACTTCGGTCCACTATATACAGGGTGAGATAAAAAAAAAACTGCAACAAAGTCAAACGCCATAATTTTTACATTTGTCGGAAATAGCATCAAATTTTAGAACAAGTTTAGATTTGTTCGAATTGGTCACCTTTGGCTCGAATTGTGGCCTTCAAACGGCCAAAGAAACCGTCTCACGCCGCCCGACTGTTGC